CTTTATCGACAGGTCCCAAGGTTGGACGATTTTTTATTTTAGTTTGTTAACTATTAATATATCAGTAAAATTTAATTATTTTTCTTGACTGTTTCTTAAAAATCCCAAGAAAAATCCCAAGGTCTCATTTCTCAAAATAAAATCCCAAAAATATCCCAACCGCTTCAAAAAATCCCAAGATCTTGGGATAAAATCCCAAGGCTGGCAACGCTGCTGGGCATGGCAACAGTGGGCATACCTGGGCATGACTTCACATTTCCGGTTGGAGGTATCGTTCCAGTTATGTTTAGTTCAATGTTCTGTAGATGCTTCGTGATTTCCTCTTTCGACACTTGCAGAGTGCCCATCTCTTGTTTCATCTTTATCAGGTAAGTCATCTTGTAGATATGTCACAGCAGCTAACGTATTACCGCAAGGGGTTTTTGGGTCGTTTAACCTCTTAATTAATAAGTCATTATCTTGGTGAACTAGTCGTAGAGCCGTCGTAAGACTGGACTTTTCGTTTTCAAGATCAATAACCTTGGCTCTCAATACCGACGTAGATTGGTATAAGTTCAAATATTTTTTTTCCAATTCTTCATTCTTTCTATTAAGCTCTATTTTTTCCTTCTTTAGTTCGTTATTGACATCTTCTAACACTAGTATAGAATACGGTTTGTTTTCTTTAATAGCATATACTTCATCGGCAAGAACCTCCAGTTTTCTATTAACGATCTCAGTAAAGCTATCCAACTTCGATCTTAGCTGGTTCATTTCTGAGTCAGTTTTGGACGATACGTTAGTTTTTAGATTATCGTGTTGTGACCCGGTATGCAAATGACTGTTTGTTGATTCCAAGTCGACATGCAAATTTTTTGCATAATTCGCTGCCCAACTCCTGGTTGAGTTTTTTTTTTAATTTTATTTTATCTTTAACTTCGGCTGCTCTCTCCCCTTTTAGAGTTATGGTTCTCGTATTCGAGTACCATCGTATCGCTACTTCACCGTTTTCAAAAAGTTTACAGTTACCTCCTGGTGTTGACCAACTGCCCGGCTGTAGTTCTAGATCATCAACAAATTGACAGAGTTCATTGTAGTCGCCTTGCCATTTTAAATTTCCCTTGGGCTTTTTCACGGCCAAGACATTGCCTTCAGACAATCTACTTGAGTCTTCATTATTTAATCCTGTACTACAGTTGCTATTTTCCAGTTCGATGTTGTCGAATATTTGGCCGGGTTGTAATTCGGCTGCGGTTAATTCGGCTGTCATTTCGTCCAGATCGCTGTTTTGTTACTTGAAAAGTAAATACTGCAGTTACTGGCTTCCTGAAACGAACGCCATGCTTTCTTTTGATTGGACAAGCTTTAGTTTGATTAGATTTCTATTTTGGTTCTGCAATGTGATTGGTTAGTGTTCTCTACCTGGCGTTAGTGGCCCCACTTACTGTATAGACGCACTGTAACACTACTATATACACAGCGGAAAAACGTCTGCTCATGCGCGGGAACTAAGAAATGGTAACAAATTTAAATGACAGCTTCGAAAACAGAAACATGGCCATTTACTCAGTCAAACAAGAAAATGCAGCAGACGGGTAGATTCTAAAATAAATTTATAAATAATAGTCGTGAGTGAACGGGGATGTATCAAACGCTTTGTGCACCCCCCCCCCCCAGTTTTCAGCCTTATTAACTTAAATATCTTCATGCGCTACTGCTCTGAATAATTAATGCTATATGACCTTCGAACAACAGGCCCAGCTTGATCAGGTTTTGCATGCCGTCTTTGCATGCACTTCGGGACTATATTTGCATGATCCCGGTTTGACGGAAGGCAAGCTTAATTAAACGAAAGTTCAAACGCCGGTTAAAAGAACTCAAATGTTCAAGACGATTATCAATACTGCTTGAACAACCTCTCGTTTACAATTATACTATAATCTATCACCAGAAAATGTAGTTTTTCAGAACGGGCACTGTGACTTATTTCAATGCATCAAAATCATCCGGCCGTCTCACAATTATCACATCTCGTCCCAGCAAAGCCGCGGGATCATGTAAACAGATTTTTTTCCCTGAAAATTAGCCCACTTCCTAATTTTGAGTATTAGACAACCTTTGGAATACTTTGACTGTTTTACATCAAGTTCGCAACGCAAATTTCAGTCAAGGTTGACGACCTGACGCACGCGCAGACATTTTTCCGCGGTGTTCTTGAATTCTATCGAATGGATGATTCCAGCTATCGACTAATTTTTATCTAGACAAGAAAGACGAAATCTATCATTATAGCTTAAAAGAACATCCTTAAATTAGTAAAATTGCCAAATTTGGTCGCACAATGTTGTAAAATACGGAAAATATAGCCCTGTGAAATCAGCAAATTTTGAGTATTTTAGTATTATACGCGTAGAAAAATGCACCACTTTTGAGCCGAAAGTGGTGCATTTTTCTGCTCGTAATACTATAAAATACTCAAAATTTGCTAATTTCACAGGGCTATATTTTTCGTATTTTACAACAACTCGTAACCAAACTTTGCAATTTTACTAATTTAAGGATGCTTTTTTGAGCTATAATGATAGATTTCGTCTTTCATATCTAGACAAAGAATTAGTCGATAGCTGGAATTATCCATTAGTTTACTGGATATTCATTTTAACAGATGTTCTTTTTGCAATGAAGGTTCAATAACAATAATTTTGGTTCCGTGACCAGATGTATTATGGACGATTTACAATTTTACAGAAACTTCCAGCGTCTCAAAAAGTTCACTATTTCATAATGCTATCTGCTTCTTGCTCAGTTAGAATAAGGAATAGGGGTAAATGTTGTTCGGCGTATTTTTAAGCAAGCCAAAATGGCGGAGTCAAAGGGGGTGGGGGCACTAGGTTTTATCCACAAGACCACAACTATACACTCCTCTCCGCAGAGCCGTATAGCTATATATAGTTTAAAAACGGCGGGTTATACCCACAAATTTTGAGGCGTGCAGGAAAATTGCCTTCTCCTCCTGCGCGCGTTCACCTGGATGCCTTAAATTTTCTCTGTGAGGAGAGTGCCACAACCACACGTCCACCGTTTTAAACTGAGCAATTTAATAAGGGAGCGTTCTTGCCAGTACCAGTTAAATTATATTCAATGGTTAAACAAGAGTTCCAGATAAGGAAGAAATGCACAAACTGCTCCAATTCGTCAGAAACCACTATTACATGATAAGGATTCACACCGCGCGCAAAGGACCAAATACCATAGAAATAGTATTGATTATTAATTAACATAATGCTTCATAAAATTGAAAATCTGTATAACTTTTAATTTGCGAATACAGACTACATTTTCACCCAATGTGAGGCGTCTGTATTCGTAGGCTATATAACTTTAAAAGCAATCGCTCAAATTAACGAACATTTTACCTTTGAACGAGTCATATCACATGTAATCAATCGCAATAAATTGACCGTATTTTTTATATGTTATAAAATCTTCGTATACGGAATGTTCACCATCAAGATAAAATTTCATTGAATATTGAAACCTAACATTTTGACATCATAACACAACATGGATATTTCAAAAAATATGGATTTCTTGTGCTCTTGTGGACAAAATTAATGCATCAATCTTATCTAGATGGTGATTGCCTCACTATTCCTTGTATTAGTTGTATACACGTATACTTGCAATGTGTAAAATATTTGACCAACCTAAAAATGTGCTCTATATCAAAATCAGTTCATATGCAATGTGATATTCGCATATCAAAAAGAAGTTGAACTACTCAAGAACGAAGAAACCTAAAAAGTCTGCAGAATATTTTATTATTATATTAATTGTTTTTTTTGCAATGCGTAAAAAGACAGCGACTACTTACACTAGTTCAAGTATCTGCAGTATATACGGCATACTGCCAGGGATTTACATTCTACCATCACGTTCCTTGCTTTCATCTTCAAGCATGTAAGCGGGCTTGTATTCACCATCCTTCATTTTCAGGGCAGGATTTGGCATGGTATTGTGACGACTGCCAATTGAAGTATATCCTCTATCATATAAGGACATATAGGGTATGTTGCATTCTTTCAATACACACCATACATCCGAATAATGCCAATTAAGGATTGGATTAATCCTAATGAATTTGGGCCAGTCAGGGTCAGTGGGAGAAAACAGGTTCAAATTTTCACTGTATGGATCATGCTTTCGGGTTCCCATGAGTATACCTCTGATACGTGGATGTGAGACTTGCAAAAACTCCAATGCGTCTTTAATGCTCGAGTTGATTTTGATAATGTTCAATTTGTACCTTTCTGTGCACTCTGAAATAAATTCTTCAGCTTCGGGAAATGGAGCATCCCCTTGGACATATAAAGCATTCAATTTGCCAGCAAACAACGGGTACTTTCTCATAACAGCAGCGTAGTGAAGGGCCAGTAATGCAGTGCAGTCTTTGCCACCATTAAAACTAATACACAACTCATCTAGTGCATACAACACCAATGTTTCCTGTAGTACAGCCCATGCACCTTTAACAGAAGCACTTAAGTTGCAGATATCTTTAGTTGATATGAGAGAGTGAATTTTCTGCAATGCTGGACAATCTGGATCTTTCTTGATTATCTCTACGTAATAATTTCAAAATAAGAAAATAAGTATTAAATAAATATTATAATTTTTCACACACCCACTTCCTTGCAAACATTTGTTTCAAATTCTCCACTGTGACCAAGGGTGGGAGAGGGATGGCCATGCTTACACTTGAGTGATTTGAGTAACGAATTAGACCTAAAACAGCCATGTTCAACAAAGGCAGTGTGGCACCTCAGGAAGAAGCCTATCAAGTTTGTATAAAAAATTTCTTTGTATCAACTATCAAGTACAAAAATTTAACATGTCATGAGCTGCAAATCTGTTCACCTCCTATCTTTACAGGTGTAGCTAGTCCACCGCCACATCATTAGACGACCGGTAAATTAATTTTTAGGGGACCACATATTGTCAGTACATGCATGAATCTAGGATATATATCAGGGTCTCTTTCAAGGGCGTCAATCTATCCCAAAAAGTGGAAGGGGGGGGGGGACGGACTCCAAACTAGGAAGGTCCGGAGGTGTGCTACACAATTTTTTTTTTTAAATTTTGGTACACTGAAACGGCATTCCAGTGTTTTGGAGGCACTTATAAAGTTTTGTTATATAATAGAGAGTGAGATACTGAATATATAATAGAGAGTGAGATACTGAAAATACACAGTGAAATATTTTCCATATCTTCACTAGTGAAGATATCGACTACGTGACTCTTTCCAATTTGCTTGTGAGCGTGAAATTTCACAATATTTTTGCTTGGGACTATATAATAAACAGAACATTACACGGTGGTTTGAAGATATGACTTTTATCTTCTCGTGTTAAAAACAATATTTTACACACTCGCTGCGCTCGTTCGTAAAATATTGTTTTCACCACTCGAAAATAAAAGTCATATCTTCGTATCGCCGTGTAATATATATCCTCTATATATTACAATGTGCATGATCTTAAATCCATTTTTAACGACGTGAGAAATCCGCTAAAAACCAACATGTCCTAACCTGCGAACATGATGTCACCAGGGCGCTTATATATAAGCGCTTCGTCGAGAATAACGTCTGTTCACAGGCTAACATGTCCTCACCCTTATTTTAATGATAATAATCTATTAAATTAACCATTTGCCTTATTTTGATGATATTCATCTATTTAAGGGAAACTCAGTTAAAACGTAATTATTTTTAAGTATTTACAATTTTACATAACATATTATATGCGATGTCAGTATTTGCTCCCAGCGGCTACAGAAAGATTATACGTTGCACTTTTTCTTATTAAATGTCTTCCTTTCAATCACAATTTTTGATGAATAGCATCCCCATACCATATGCATTAGGTTTTTAAATAACCAAGAAACAAAATTTCATTAAACATGTCAAAAAGTGTCTTTTTTTCATGGTTTTGGCGGTTTTTTGCTGGGCGATTTGCAGTAGAGTCCCGACATCAATATTAACTAGAGATGCGTATTTTCAGTATTTCCTATGGACGAATTTAGACAGTTTGGTTCAATAATTAGTGTGACAACACACACCATTTTGGCATGCTGTATGAGCAGCCCGCAACCAACTGGAGAAAATAGGGTCGCACTGTCAATCGCGTTGAAAAAATAATAGGGTCGGCAGATAAAAATAGTGTCGGTCGGGAACCGGAACCACAGGTATTTTTTTTAGGCCTCATAGTACAATTTACTAGGTCTACTGTAGGACTAATTCAAACTCAAAGGAATAAACTTTCCATTTCCTTTCTGGGGGATGAGTGTTTTGTTGATTGTCAAATTGTTAAATTGTATTGCACTTCATGGTGTTAGTCACAAGTAACAAAAGATCCATGTTTAACTGAAATTGGGAAAAATAATTGAATATTTATAATATAACTATTTTTTGGCTGACCTAAATTGGGAAATTGTGACATCAAGGTAATTGGGAAAAACTGTGTTTAATGCAAAATGTTTGACTAGAAAACAACTCTCAAACAAGGCATTGTAAAAAAGAATAAAGTGTGCTTGTTACATAGCATCAAAAAATATTCTTCTTTTTACAATGTCTTGTACAGTAATTAAAGTTCTTTTGTGAGGTAGAGGTTGTATTGTGCGTGCACATCCCCTTAAATTTAAACATCTCTCAAAGGTGGTCCCCCCAGTCCCCCTGTTGCTATCCCTCTGCTTTTAAGCCTCCATTCCGTGCCCCTGGATACAGTTCTGACATAGCTATGCAATCATACCATTTTCTGGCAAATTTTCTGAGGAGCAAAATTCAGTTCGGATGATAGCATTATCAGGCAATATGCTGATAAGATAATCCAAGGCTTCTGCCAATATGTTCGGTTTTAACGACTCAAGAGTCAGTTTAGTTTTAAACTCCTCGCAGCCAACTTCTGGATATGAACCAAGATGAACCTTTTGCCCATACTTATCATGCACCTTCTGTAACTCTGCAGCAACTGTTGACTCATGCACCGACAAGTACACCTTTTGCAGATAGAACATGTTTTCAGGATTTGAAAACACATGCGAATAACTATCAAATAATGATTGCAGAAACTTTGGTATTCCAGGAAAAATATAAACATTATGTACTGATATCAATGGAAATGGATTTCCAGTTGTTTCGGCAACATGTTGCTCATATAAAACTTTGCTAGAGGAAGGAACCTGGGCCATTTTCAGAACAAAACTGCTCAGTTGGGAAACGTCCCTCACTTTATAAAGTTTGGTTAAAGTATCCACCAAGTACTGATTCTGAACAAGAGGCTCATCAAATGCATTTGCAATTGCCATCACCGTTACGTCATCGTGAGTTGGTCCGATACCGCCAGAAGTGAGGACATAGGTGAATCGTGAAGAAAAATCACGAACGTGGGATGCAATCTCATCAACGTCATCGGGAATCACAGAAACAGCTTTCACCTTTACGCCATGTGACCACAATCTGGTAAAAAAAAAATGGGAATTCGTGTCCTTTGTGTGACCTTTAAGAATTTCATCTCCGATTATGAGAATTCCAGCCGAAGGAGGTTCAATTACGCTATTTTGCCTTCCTAATATTGACACACCTGCATCGGCCGCCATATTGGATTATACTGACTAACACTGACCTCTTAATAAGTGGAACGCTATAAAATGACGTGTAACCAGGGCGCTTATATATATATACCTTTGAAATTTGAAATTTAGTCTCCATGGAAGTCATAAAAAGGTACGGACATTATCGACCATAAATTCTCTTGTACAAGCTATTTTACCATTACAGCACACAAACCCTTTAGCCAAAGAAATACTTTAGCCCAGGCCCGTAGCTGGGGGGGGGGGCTGGGGGGCAATGCCCCCCACTCGGTGGGGCAGTGTCCCCCAGTGCCCGCCCACTCCGAAATTTGGTATGAAAAGTTGAGATAAAGGACCTGGAAACTAATTGTAATCATGGGACAAATTCTGTAAATTTTGTGGTAAATTTTGTGATGTTTCGATCGAAAAATTTTGTTAGGTTTCGGAAAAATTTGGTATGTTCGGAAAAAATTGGTCTGTCCGGAAAAAATTTTTGACCCCTAAAGTGGTACACTGACCGAAATTTTTTTGGCGACGGGGGGGGGGACTCTGCAGTGAGTCCCCCCGCCCCCCAGAAATTGAGAGCCAGCTACGGGCTTGCTTTAGCCATTTTGCCATTTAAACCATTCTAACACCAAAAAGAATGCGAAAAATGGCCAGACGAACTGAACAACTCAAAATCGCAGTTTTCTTCAATTTCCTGCAAAATCGTACTCGCCCCAGTTTTTCCGCATCACACGTCGATCAGCGCGCGCGCTCTCGTTGCGCCGCCTTGTATATAAGCGCCCTGCGTGTAACCTTCGATCATCACTCCGTCAAAAACCGTCAAAATCGAGGTCGGCAAAGAAGGGCCTGAAATCTGACCTATATAGGTCGGCACGTCTCGGCATTTCTTAAAATCTGTTTCACGTCTTGGAGCACTATTAATCACGCATTTACGAATCATTGAAATCGGAATATAACTGGAACGTTAACTCCAGGCTCCAGCCGGAAAATTCCAAAGTTGAAGCCAAATTTTAACTCTAGATGCGCGAAATTTGATCTTCAGACACCTAACGTATATACACAATACCCGTCAATTTTTAAACCTTACACCGTAGTGTGTTCAGTTAATCGAACTACGAATCGAATTCTATAATCGCTGACTTTTTAAAGTGCTTATGAAACGAAATTTTTGCCTCATTTTTTATTGTCTTACTAAAAGGTACTGCTTAAATGATGAAGAATGACGTTTACAGTATGTTCGTATCTTTAAATTCAAATATATTTATTGAGAACATTACATTATATAATTAATATTATATATAATTATATATAATTAATATTATGTATAATTAATATGAACTCAAATGGCATAAGCACAAACGAGACGCGAAGTCCCATGCAAGGTGCAAACCCCGAAGCAGCGAATACGTACATAGATATAAATACACACATACATAAAATACAAATATATAAAAGCCGCTTCCCCCTATTAGTATGACCATGAACACAACCACCTGAATGCTTCACGGACGTGTTAGCAAAATAATTTCAAACTCACAAGCATAATGAATGCTTCACGGATGTGTTGGCATAATAATTTCAAACTCACAAGCATAATGAATGCTTCACGGATGTGTTAGCATAATAATTTCAAACTCACAAGCATAATGTGGTTGCATTCAGTGAACACAATAAGAGGAACCGTCTATTAAAATTAAGATCTGTGACAGGGGCAGTCCCGCACCAGTGTCCAGGTGCATGGCATGTCCACGTCAAATGTTGCCGTAACCAAGTTAGCGTAAGTGGCTTTAAGAGATCTTTTGAAGATGGAGAGGCTGGCAAAGGTGGTAGAGGGAAGAATTTTGCAGACGTGGTTCCATAACTTGACAAGCCGGTTGAAATATGAGGATTGAAATGTTTTGGATTTACAGAAAGGGAGTTTGAGTGTGAGAGAAGGATTTCGACTAAGTCGTGTTCGGCCATTGTTGACAAATGAAACGAAACTATGCACGTCAAGATCAATATGTCCATACAGTGCCTTAAAAAAGAACACTAAGTCTTTTATTTCTCTCTCGTAGCACAGGGGTAATAAGCCAAGGGCTATCAGCCGCTGCTTATATGCAATTTCTCCGCGCTTGGCTTGCAGCATCCAAGAGGTGGCTCTCCTTTGTACACGTTCCACTGTGGATCTCATTTTGATGGTAGGAGGAGACCAGACTTCGGTGGCGTAACTTATCTGGGACTTCACGAGTGACAAGTACAGCGTCCGCCTCACTGCGGTGTTAGTCAGTAGAGGGCAAGTTCTTTTCAGCATGCCAAGCATCTTCTTCCCTTTGGTGATGATGGTATGAACATGATCGTCCCATGAGAGGTTGTAATTTATGAAGACACCAAGATCTTTTTCCTTATTCACACGAGTAAGTTCCTTTGAGCCCATGTGATATGCGTACGTCAGCGGGGGTTTTTTCCTTGTAATTGTCAACACCTTACACTTCGACTCGTTAAAATTGAGGTTGTTGTCACGGCTCCAGCAGTCAAGGTCTGTTAAAGCTTGTTGCAAACTTTCACAGTCACCTACTGATGTGATGGACTTGTACAGTTTGGTGTCGTCTGCATACAAAGCTGCCAAAGTCTCGTCAGGTAATATGTCGGGAAGATCGTTTATGAATATCACAAACAGAATAGGACCCAGGAGACTGGCTTGCGGCACTCCAGATGTAACTGGCACCCAATTAGATGTAGCTCCATCAATCACAACCCTTTGACGACGACCACTGAGATAGTCCGCGAACCATTCATATAAATGACCTGACACACCGTATGACGCAAGCTTGTGGAGGAGAATTTGGTGATCGACAGAGTCAAAAGCTTTCGCAAAGTCGAGGTAGATAACGTCAGTTTGAACGTTTTTGTCAAGGGATTGCCCGATGGCGTGTAGTACCGATAGTAGTTGACTAACGCAAGATCGCCGTCTAAGGAAACCATGTTGTGCTTTTGTGACGAGGTGCCTGACATGATTATATAGTCTGATGCACACGCAACGCTCTAGTACTTTGCCAACGATGGGCAGCAACGATATTGGTCTGTAATGTTCCGCCGGTTCTTTAAGACCTTTTTTGTGGACGGGTGTAACATTCGCAGATTTCCACTCAGATGGAACATGACCAGTATGCAAGGAACGGTTAAACAACTCACATATGCTTGGTGCGATTTCAAGGGCGCATACTTGTAACAGGCGAGCTGGAATGCCGTCGGGGCCACATGCTTTCGAGGTATCAAGGGCGCGCAAAAATTGCGCAACTTCGTCTACATCGATTGTTATCTCCGAGATGTTCTCTTTGCTTTCCGTTCGAGGCGTCTGGTTACAAGTGGTAGAAGATGGATGAAACACTGAAGAAAAGTAAGTGTTAAAAAGATCCGCTTTTTCTTTCGCCGTCTTGGCTGTGAAACCATTATATGTTATTTCGTTGCTCTGACCTGTCCGGTGGTGAATAATTGATTTATGGTAACTCCAGAATAGTTTGGGGTTGTCACAGAACGAACTTTCTATTTTAGCCAGATAGCCTCGGTGTTTACTTCGAATCAAGTATTTTAAATAGTACATGAAAAACCGGTTTCTTAGAAGACAAAATAAAAGTATGACTTCACACGTGATCATAAACTGGGTTGTCACGGCAATATGACGTATGCGTGCGACCCAGTCACTACCATAGAGATTATAAATAACACTAGAGGAGGCATCGAGTTTAAAAATTGGGAACGCAGCTAATGGGGAATTCAAGTCCCGGATATAAAATCGTGCTCTCATTGGCTGATTTGAAACTCATCACCAATGGGAACACGAATACACATCCGGGACTTGAATTTGCCCCCCAATAGTCGCCTTTCCTTTTTTTTTACTGAATTAAGATTACAATGCCTCCTCTAGTGTTATTTATAATCTCTATGGTCACTACAGTATTGTATTCCCAGAATTTAGGAAAAGTTGCGACGTTTCGTGCATTTAAATTAAAACGTTAAATGGTTATAAACATTCAATGATTCAAAGTTTGATCGGGCACTTTCCGCCCCGCAGTCTTGATAGGGTTAAAATGCAAAATACCCTCAAGCTTTTTACTCTAGAGTTTTTAAACCCTTAACAATGAAAAACCATAAAATATTTTATAAATAAAACTCTCGACTTTTTATATATGACCCTCTACTTTTTACCCTCGACATGCAGTGGACAAAAAAACTAAACTAGATAAGTTTTGGAGGGCGCGCGTAGGACGTAATGTGGGGGGAGGGGGCGTGGTGAATAGGGGTATATAAATCCGCCGATGCGCCCAAATTTGAAGCAAAATAGCGTTTGTCTAAATTTGAATCCGCTAAAAGCTCTACTACGAAGTCACAATCCCGGATCAGAACTAAATTGCAAGCTAAACCCACAATCCGAGCCAAAATATTATATAAATTCGCAATCCGTTGTATTAATAAGATCCGCAAATCCGTGTAAAATTTCGCCAGATCCGAAATCCGAACAATTTTTTCTGTGAAATCCGAAGATCAGAAAACCTATTCATCCCCCCCCCCCCCAATGTGCATCAAATTGTCTGGTACTTTGAAAGTTAATAAAAACCTTCCAAATTTGCACCCTATGATATCAAATTACGTTTCAATTGGGCTTCGGTGGCCGTGGCGCAATCGTCAGAGCACGCGCCAATCACCTCTGATCTCGTGGATTCGATTCCCGCTGTGGACGTTATGATATCCATGTGAAAAGAGTTGGTCAACGCTCTGCCAAAAGTCGCGGGTTTTCTTCGAGTAATCTGGTTTCCTCCCACAGGAAATGTTTATACAGGGTTGGTTGGGATTCGCCCCTAAGCCGGGATTATCCCTAAACTAACCCTTCCGTCTTGTGCTCCGTGTTTAGACATGGGTCAAAAACTAGCCATGAGAGGCGAACCTAGAAAGCCTTCCACTCGATCACCGCGCGTACACCCTACTTACACCCCCCACCCCCGCCATAATTATAAAATTACCCATACTATCGATATTATGCG